TCTTCCTTACTTGTGACCCACAGTTATGTGATAGGTGTTAATGCAGCCCCTCTTTCCTTCAGCTGTGTCTATGTCCTTTTGTGATCTTTTGTGAAGGTGAAGAACAGTGTTTTCTGGAGAAAGCAGAACTCTGTTGGAGAGCTTTATGTTGTTTCTTCAGCCAATAATTTTGCATAAAGTGCCCAAACTCAACAGATTTTTATGTATAAAGATGAATAAATAAATGTATAAATAATCTGATTAATAACTCAGCTTGGTTTCCTATCCACGAGCCTATGTCCTGTTCTAAAAGCAATTTCAAATCAGCCAGGGCAGATTGTTAATGGAATGTAGCAGTTTTCATTTATATCTGTCCAGTTGCCTGCCTGCAGAGGTAACGTTGTCACCGGATTTGCTAGGGTGTTAGGCAGCATGTATACATTGTAATGCCATACCAGCATGGAAGATTTACTGGGAAGCAGGCTTAAATTCTGCACGGTCCTGGAACAGATGAATAGAGGGAAGTTGTCTTCTGTAATTCTGGAACACCAAGCGGATGTGGCCAGTTTGCAGTTCAGTTTTTATCCTAGACCTTGGGGAAGGCTTTTTGGGGGGTTTATCATTTAATGGTGAAGAAGGAAGGAAAGATGTTGAGAGGGCATATTAAGAACTCCGTATTCTGAGTTTTTCATTTAAGAGGGCAGTAGAATACAAATGAGGTGTTCCAGCATTTCAGTAGTGATACGGTGATTCAGTTTCCAAACATTTAAGATCTGTAGCAGAACCAAATAACAAAAAACCCTAAACTGACTGTAGAATTTATTATTTCTTATCATTTTCCGTGTGCTAGTATGACCTTTCCCCCTTCCCTTTGACTGCTGATTCTTAGGGTCCTCTTTCAAATTTGCCAAGTATGGATTCCGTGTCCCTGAAGGTTGCAATGGTAAGCATTTTACAATTTTGTATTATGGTGGTGATGCTGTGACATGGGAAAGAATACTCTTAATTACGTGATGTAGTAGATATTCATCTAACGAGTCATACTCTTTAAGAATAGCTAAATTACATGTCTGGGAATAGTTTCTTCATTTGTAGTAATTTGACCACTTGAAGTAATATATACATAAATTATTTATGAATGGGTAGTAATAGAATATTCGTTTCTAAGCCTTGAGAAACAGAACTTTACTTACAAGAATGCTATCCCATGAGTTATCTTAAATTGCTAAAAGCAAATACTTACCTCTAATTAGTTTTAATCAAGTGTCTTTTTTGCCTGTATGCTTTGAAATATAGGTTCTGCTATAATTTATAATTTTAGTCCTAAGGCTTTGATTTTATGCAAATAGTTCAGCTAAAGTCAGAAGCTAGGTGCTGGGCATATGTCACAGTTTTATTTTTTTAAGTTGAAAGCTACAATATATTTTAAAACAAATTATCAGCTGGTATTTTTTCTTAGAGTGTGTGAAGGCTATTTTGTATAGAGATAGCAATATCACAGTTCAGTAGGCAATAATGTGATCTGTCACGCTTCTTGCTTAGCCAAGTTTAGCTTTATTCTGAACATTTAACTGTAAATAAGGCCCACTCATCCAGCAATACATGTATACCCTCACGAAATAAAGGTCTTTTTAAAAGAATTTTTTTTTTAAAAAAGGGGTTTTTTTAAAAAATTGTATCTTGAATCCATCCTGATTGTTTCACTGTAGCCTGTTTTCCTCTGTTCCAAGTTTTAAACAATGATTCCCAAGCTGGTTGGATGAACAGAGCTCTGGCACAGAGCACTCATTCGTTTACTCGGATCAGCATGCATTTTTATCAATATTTATAAATTTTGCATTTAAAATACCTTCTATTTATCACAGTCTTGTAGACCAATGAGGAATTTGAAGACTGCAGCTTGGGGACCATCTCTTTAAAGTATATATATGTAACTGTTATCTATAGTGGTACATAAGCATTGGAACAGGCTGCCCAGAGAGGTGGTGGAGTCACCATCCCTGGAAGTGTTCAAAAAACGGGTAGATGTGGCACTTCGGGATATGGTTTAGTCTAGTTTACCCTTGATTGGTTTAGGTGGGCTTGGTAGTGTAGGTTAATGGTTGGACTGGATGATCTTAAAGGTCTTTTCCAACCTAGACGATTCTATGATTCTATGATAATAATTTCACTTGAAATAGTTAGAGAAGAATCCAACTGTTCTGTTTTCTTCATTACTTTGTTTAATGTCTGCTTGTGTGAACACACTAATCAGAAAGGAACCCAGTATACTGAAATCAAACCCACATAAATCCCATCTTCAGCCTAATATGTTGCCTTCCCAGGATTTAAACCATGTGGAGGGAGTACTTGCAGGCAGATTCACTGCCTCCCAACTTAACCTGGAAGTTTTCTAGGTGCCAGCCTTTTAAGTTGTTCATATGTGCTTACAAATGCTGTTCTAGTCCATACCTCCCTTTCAGCTAAAGCTCCCTTGCTTTCCAAACAAGGGCAGATAACCCCAAAAAGTTAATTCATGAGAACCGAATGGCTTCATTAGTCATTTGTGCCCACTTTTTGCACATTTAAATGATGGATGGATGTGGATTTTAGGATTTCCCATCTTGAAGATTTCATCCAGTGTTCGGGAAGGTTGCCATCATTAGATAAAGTTGCCTAGGGCCTTGCCTGAATGAGTAATACCAAGGATGGAGATTATACAGCTTTTCTGGGTAACCTGTTCAGTGTTTGATGACGCTCCTGGTGAGAATTTTTCCTCTTACTATCTAATCAAAATTTTCCTTAGTGTAATATGTGTCCAGTATTCCTCATGTTTTCACCTGTGAGAAGACCTAGCTCTGTCTTCTCTATAGTCACCCATTTGATCATAAAATTATAGAATGGTTTAGGTTGGAAGGGGCCGTTAAAGATCATCTAGCCCAACCCCCCTGCCATGGGCAGGGACGTCTTTCACTGGATCAGCTTGCTCAGAGCCCCGTCCAACCTGACCTTGAACACTTCCAGGGCTGGGGCATCCACAACTTCTCTGATAGATAGTTGAAGACAGCAGTAATGCTCTTTCTTGGTGTTTTCCTCTCCAAACTACTAGGATCAAAGCACCACAATTTTTTCACTATATTATATGGGGGAGAAGTAGGCCTAGAAGCAGTTAAAGGAGCTTGAACTAGGTCCCTTGCTCTTGTTTTTCCCAGCGTAAGTGCTCATTAGATTATTAAGCAGTGACTCCCTGCCAAAAAGTAAAAAGAAACATGCAAAAAGAAACATGCAACATGTCTAACTTGGACAGACTAGATTTCTGTCTGGAGGCTACTGTATTGCCTCTGCACTGAACAGACTAGGTCTGATCTTCAGAGGTGCATGCATACATGCACCAGCTGTGTAGGAAACTTACATGGATAATTATGGAAGCTGGATTCTCATTATTTGCCCCTCCACCTGTACTCCTCAGAGTCAGAAACTTAAATTTTGGTGACAGGGGTGCTGAAGTTAGACATTTGGTTTGGACTATTAAGTTCTACCTTAAACATCTGTATATTATGTTAGGCTCTATCTAAAATATATAAAAAGAGAAAATTTTATCAAATAAGAAGGTGCCATTTTAATGTAATCACTTTTCAGAGATCTGTGGTTTTACCTATTTTTATATAACAGCAAGTTCTTAATATGTTGATCTCATATTCCCTTCCCCACGCCTGCTACCCCTAGGCTCAGTTTGATCGCTATTTGTCTGCTCCAGATAGTCTACTAATGTCCCAGCTGAATTTCCTTCTGAGTGCCACTGTGAAGTAAGTACCTTACCTTTGAATTTCTATAATGCCTGCATAATGATCAGAAAGATGAATTTGGTTAGGTTTTAGTGGATCATGATGAGAATTCAAGTTATCAGCTGTGATCATATTTGCATTGTCCTTCAGGTCACGATTCAGTTTTGTTCTGACTCTCCTCTTTCTGAACAAGCAGTGAGGAATACGTAATTCTGTAACTTTCTGAAGTAGTTACTCTTGATTTAACGGACACCATCAAAATGAATTATATTCATCTATTTTGAACATGTTCCACTGTGTCAGCAGTTTTCATTAACTTAGTTGTAAAGTGTTTTAGAACAATTTTGTAAACATTCCAAAGACAGACAAAATATGTAATTCTCCACTCAAGATTTCTTTTATCCTCACTGCTCCATCAGGTCTAGAATTGCCAACTTTGTTGTCTTCTGCTGTGGAGTACTGGCATTCTGTCTCATTGAATACTGTGCTGAGATTACTTTTTACCTGATATGATTTTTTAATAGTGATTTCTTCTTTGAAGTATGGAAGCAAGAACTTCAATACAACTGAACCCTAAGGCTAGGGAAAGTGCCACGAATTTCTTTCCAATTAAATGTGAACCATATGAAGACATTTTGTAGTACTTAAACTCAGAGAATTATATGCTGCACTGATCAAAAACTTTTCTTGATGTTTTTTCACACTTTTGTGAAGAATGCAGCTTAGACTACTAGATACTAGAAATTGAGACTAGCGCATCACATTTTATGTAACGCAACAATATTTGGAGTCTCATTACTACTATCTGTCCTCAGCAGGATTGTATTACAGCATCTTGCAATTAAAAAATTACATATGTCAAGGGAAAAATATTTATTGTTGGGAATTCATTAGAATAGAATAGTTCGGTTGGAAGGGACCTACAACGATCAGCTAGTCCGACTGCCACGTTCTCCTGCTATTTGCTCAGGTTCTCCTCATCCAAAGACTTCCGGTTACTTCCATGCCATATGCCTGGTGCATGGCTTGGCATGGGGGATATTGGTGCTTTTCAGTAGTTCGTTGGGTCTCTCTGCTATGGCTACCATTCCCGCAGCTCAGCCAGCAGAGCTGACCCTGTTATGTGAGAGCTGTTCTGCTCCAGTACAGATCAAACAGGGTAGCTTGAGCAGTAACATCAGTGAAGCATTGCAACTTCTGCTTCTAGGTGTCAAGCTATTAAACCTGTATTTTAGCTCTTGGTATTTTTTTTTTTAATGTAGGTCCATTTAAAAATCGTAACAACAGTAAATGTATTTTGAAAGCCTCGATTTTTCACTGCTAACACAGAAGCAATTTTTCAGAGGTAGACTTTATGCTACCGTAAAGACTCAGGCACAGTGAAATTACTTTAACTTAATCATTTCTTCTGTCAGACGAACCAAGATAGACGGGTCATGTATGCACTCTTAGCCTTATCCCATTGATAAGGTTTTTAAACCTCTCAGCACAATTTAAGCCAAATTCATGTTATCTTGCAACAGTGGGCAGGTGAGAGGGGAGCCTGTGTGAGGCTGATTGCTATAGCTGCTACAGCTCAGCTAACATGCAGGAGTTTATTAACCTGCTATAACTCAACACTATAGGTCAGGTTCTGCTCAGAATTAAAAAAAAAAAAAAAATCTGTTATCCCGTTAGCCTTCAAACATGTAGCTTTAAACACCAAGCAATCATTTTGAAGTTAAGATACCTATTTACAGAGATGCATGCTTTTAGAATCACGGTCTTAATAGTCAACATTTTCTGTAGTAAATAAACCTTCAGAATTCAAAAGTTTCTCAAAATTCAAGCAAAACATTTAACCAGTACTGTAATTTTAATCTCTGGCTATAGTAGTTGAAATTTTCAAGTTAGTTTTGCAGGCATTTGATGTCAGTTTTGAAGATGTCTTCCTTGAAATCACATAATTGTGATTCACTGTTCCAATGGTTGAGCTGAAACCCAAGAGTTCTTTGATTCTCAAAATCAGACCACATGCTTTTGATAAGGGACCAGTGTATTAATACTCACTGGCAATATCATTTAAGCTTTACAGCTATGAAGAACATTCCTTCCACCATTTGCCAATGCATGCTTTTGTCTTTCATGCTCATTTAAAAAGTTTCAAGCTATTTATTTGTGTGGTTGTTGGTCTTGAAAAGCTCTTTTCATTTGTGTTGGATCACAGAAACTGAATGCTGGAATTACTATTTTTAGAAAGTGCTGCCATTTGTGTTAGTGATAAAATGTATCATGTTGTTATGGCAACTGAAATCCTAATGTACTGATTAATGACACTGGCATTATGTGATGGAAAGACTCATTTGATGCTGTTCAGTCCTCTGGAATATTTTAATGAACTTTTTCTTTTAATTTAATATTATTTGGTGCGAGACAGTTAGTTTTATATGAATTCTGTGTGCAATACTTTCTTAAAAGATTGTCATGTTACAGTAGCTTAGTGATCCCAGACTGTGATCAGAGACAGTTGTTTCACCTGAACACCTTGAATATATTTCCCTTATAATAGTGTTACTAGATTTGCTATTATAAGGCCAGTCTTTTTTTCAGCTATTCTAATAACCTATTAACGCTGGCAGTTGATCCTGTATATTGAAAAACTGGATACTGTGCATCAGAATAAAATGGAGGTTTTGTCTCTTAATCTTCTTTGTCATAGCTGCCGTTTCATAATATTTCCTGAAAAGACGAAGTTCTACGCACTTGGTCTTTGAGATTTCTTTAACTTCTCATGTCATTTCCCAACGGTTGGTGAATTCAGCCCTGATCTTAGTGGATGCAGTTTTAGTGTCTTTGTTCCTTTGCTGTGTATTACAGCAGGGCTGAATCTGGATTCATGGTTACCTTGGTTTCCTCAGCTTCTCCTGGTATTTTACTTGCATGGGTTTGGCTGTAAAATACGTGTAACTACTGTTTCTGATAGATAAAAGTGAATCTGCAACTGTAAACACATCACTATGGTGATTAAAGTAAACTGATTCAATGGGCAATGTAAAAATAAAAATATTGGTCTTCAAAAAATACTAAACTTTCCAGTTAAATTTAGCATCCAGTCTCTGTGCATTGTTACTCATTTAGATCCAGAAAAATAACGGGACATACTTCATAGCACTGTTGGTAAAAGACTGTAGCAATTTTTGAATCTCTGACCACTATCACTTTCAGCTCTTCCTTTTTGACTGATGATCAGGTGCTGTCAAGATAAAGCAAATAGAATATATTTGCCGGTAAGTGAAAAAAAAAAAAAGTGTCTATTTACAAAGGACAGCAAGAAGCCACAGGAGGTAGAAGGTAGATGACAAAGATTATCAGTCTTTTAAAAGATGCAGGGGAGTGCAGGTGAAAAACTGATGTATGCAAACTAAATCTTTCTACTATTTTTTTAATGATTGCAGAAATAAAGAAGCTACTTTCTTGTTATCAGGGTCATATATGCAAGTTTATCTATGATACAAAGAGATTAAGAAGCCTTTTGTTTTAAAACTTTAAGCTGTTTTCACAGTTGAAGTAAAAGAGCTTTTTAATGTAACTGACACTGATTTTTAATGTGCATTTTTAGCATGTCTTTAATTCCGTGTATGTAGTACCGTTATATTGGCTACGATTTGCAAATTATGTTTTTGTTTTGTTTTTTAGAGAGCAGATAATAAAACAGTCAACAGAACTGGTCTGCAGAGCTTACAGTGAGTTATATGCAGCTGTGATGGATCCTTCAAATGAATATAAGGATCCAGAAACCATACTACACAGATCTCCTCATCAAGTTCAGGCACTCCTTTCATAGTCTTGCTTCCCCCAGATTTATCAGAATCCGTAATTCTGTATTTGTTGAGTATTTGCATTGAGTTATTTTTCTGTTTTGAATTTTAATGTGTAACTATGTGGTTAAAATATGTAGGAATGCTGTTTTGTTTAATCTGCTTGGCAGAAGTCTAGTCTTTCCTGTGTCTTTGAATACCTATAGAGGCCAGAAAATAGAATATAGATTAAAAATTATTTTAATATATTCCTCTAATGGAAATGAACCGTGACAATATGCAATCTCTTTGAAAAAGAAGAAGCTTTTTCCTTGCTGTACATAATCCTTTCAACTAGAGGTTGAACCAGTGTCTTTTATGACCTCACCAATATTTTTATTTGCTCTTTTCCCTGTTCTTTCACTCTTTTTCTCAGCCTATCATCAGTAAACGCTTATAATTGTAATTTTAATACAACTGATATACTTTGAATGTCTCAAGTGCATCACTTTTACAGCTCAAACCATTTCAGAACATTTGATGCTGTTTTTCAAATCCTGTTGATTAAATGTTTGAGGCAAAATTTGTGTGCTTTTGGAATCCATTATCATTGTTGCCAGTTCTGGTATTTCTGTAAGAAAAAGAAATATTTGAACACATGCATGTACATAACCTGGAACTTAATGCTTTTTAAGTTATTTGTATAATTTTGTTTTACTGGAAGGATTTTGTTTTAGTGCAATCATTCTGTAGGAATCCTTGTATCAGTTGAAACTTGCTGATCTTTTAAGGCTGGGACCAATAACAATGTAGGTTAGGAAGATGGTTTGCATGGCAGTATGGCCTTTCCTCCTTCATATGTACATGGTTTTTGCTTTGCTTTTTTGTAAGTACAGGAAAAGTCCTTCTGCTCTGGTACAAGCATTTATTCAGTTAATAATCCACCAAGATATTTTTCGTTGTTTACATGTCTGTAGTGGTGCTCCTAAAAATTGTGGTTAAGTTCACCTGTGGCAGCCACAGGTTGTCCTGAGGATTATGTGGGAGAGCCGGGGTGCGTAGTTGTTCTAGGCTGATGTGTAGAAAGCCATGAGTGAAGGTTTCATTTCTTTCCTCCTTCGGTGCAAAGCTGAACCTGCTCTGTGTAGAAACACTAATTATATGGAGAGTTACAATTTAGGGGACCTTTGCTTCAAGTAAAAGAGGAAAATAGATAAGTAGGACACTTGTTCTCTGTTGGGTCTTATGATAATTTTCTGTAAATTCCTTAAACATATTCTTCTTCTAGGCAAGCCTTGTTATGGAGAAACCTTCAGGGGAAAAAAACAGTTAGTAAAAGAAATTTGGGGTATTTTTGGGGTTAGGTTTTTTGTTTGTTGGGTTTTTGTAAAAGATGGTTTAGACCAGCTGTTTTCCTTGCAAGCATTTCACTTTTTCCTTTTTGTTGTTGTATGGGTGCCACAGAATTATTACAGTTGCCTGAGTTTACACTCATATTAGATGTGGCTTGCTTATATACATCAAGGGGGAGATGAGCAGTCATTCATATTGAATAACTTACATATTTTATTTTTATCAGTAGTAATATTCCCCATATAAAATACATACTTAGTGGCAGCCAAGTCTGCAGTTTAGTGTATGCTTGCAAAAGAGCAAGAAATAGAGAAGAGCGGCAGCGATACGTTTTAGTCTCTTGGAAAACTCATTGCACAAGATATATCCAGTGTGCTCAGAAAGCAGCTTCCTTGGTAATACCACAATAAAGCAATAGCTCCTTTTCCAAATGGGCATAATTTGTTGGTATAATAGAAAAAGATTTGAAAGTGTAAGTGTCCCTGGAGTTCTTGGATCAGGCATAAATTCTTCTGTAAATGTGAATGTTAGATTTATTCTTTTTAAAAACTCCAGACCTGTAAGACAAAAAATTCTAGAAGCTTAGAAAAGCTCTAATGGAAGATTATGCTCTTGCACTACGTAAGGCACTCTTAATTACTCAGATTTTGCATTACCGTAGTATACATTCAGAAGGCTGTTCATTGTTGTTTAATAATGTTAATATTGCTTAATATGCCTATAATTATTATCTAATATATGAAAATTACATCGGTTGTGAAAGGATTATAAATTAGCTTGTTATTAGATTAATATACTCATAAGAGTCACCTATCTGCTGAAATTACACTCAACCTCAGTCTCCAATAATCAGTTAGTAGTTTGCATGAGGATTAGTAAGAAGTTGCTTCCTATCTTTGAGTCCATGTAGAGACTTATCCATGATTTTATCTTCTCTCAATAAAGCAAAAGCTATAAAAGTTGTAACTTACAAAAATTAAAGTCAATCACTAATTTTGGACTGTGCAATTAAAGTAAATGACAAAGGGTCACTAATGAGAAAGGACGTCAATAAAAGCTTTTGATTTACTGACTTCTGTCTTCCATGTTGTTATTTCCTCTCGCTTGCCTTCCTAAGAGGAGGAAGGAAAAGGTGATTAGGTTTTGACCTGCCTTTTCTAGCTTGGCATTTCTGACCCTTTTATTTTACAAATTCCCAGGATTTCCACACCAGGAACCGTGAAGCTGCAGTCCTCTAATTGCTCAGTTAGACGCATGACCCATAAGCGTTGCAGCAAATGGAATCATTCTGGGTGTCGGTACCGGCTCCATGTTCAGACCAGTTACTGCAGGTCTGACTTGAGCATCACAGTGCATGAAGAGATGCTCACCTGGCTGGGCTGAGTTAGTCACGGCACTTCTGCTGTTTGTCCTTAAATGCTTTATGTGGAGGGGCATGCCTTCAGAGAGTGAGTCCGTTACTCTCTGCCAGGCAGCAATATGCTTGGGAAAGCTGGGTAAGGTAAAGAGTGGTGTTTGAATACTGCCTACAGTAGGCAGCGCTCTCGGTGTTTGACACTCTGACAACGCAAATCTGAGAACAGATGCGTAAAAGGCCTCTTTTTGCATTGTTGTCTGATGCAAAGAGCACTTTTGTGGGAAGTGGGAGAGCTGGGTTCTGGGCCAAAGGAGTTTGGAATTGACATCTCCCGCCGCCTTGGAGAGCACCCAAACCCTTGGCTGTTGTATAGTATGAGATGGGGCAGCTCCGTTTCTTCTCTCTTGAATTTAGCAGCTGTGCATAAATCAATGCAAAATATGGGAGGCATGAGATAGAATAAGCAAGGAGGAGTTTGGCCCTGTGGCATGTACGTGAGGGCTCTTGTGAGGCTGCCAAGGTCTAGATCTTCCTCCAGTTGTTATGTAGGGACCATATCTTTGACCTCCAACACATGAGTCCCTGAAACAGAATCAGGATCCCAAGGAATTTGTCACCCACAGAACATCCAGCAAACAGCAAGGTACACAGTTGAGTTTGGGTTGGACCCAAGGTGGTTCATCCACACTGGTGACAGTGCCTCTGTGTTCAATCCTATGTGTACAGTTTTCTCCTCCCCTCTTCATAAATATGCACACAACTATGGAAATATAAAAGTTGTTTTAATTATAGCAAGCACATAGCAGCCCAGCCACAGTGATTTTTTGTTTCCTATTATAGGAAAAGAGAAGCTTAAGGAGGTTTGGAAAGGTGATAATACATTTGTTTTGCAGCATTTCAGAGTGCTCCTCCCTATTCTCTGAGATTTATGACTCTAGCTCTGCATTTTGTCTGTTAATAGACTCAGCTATAATTATTTTTATTAAAGTTTTTGAAATATGTGTTGGAGGAAAATACTTTCAGAACTGCTGAACTTTTCCATTCATTTAAAAAACTGTCTGTTCTTTGATCCCTTTGCTTGCCTTGCTGAGTCACTTTGCAGGCAACCCAGGGGGTGGGAAGCTTATAAAATTTTGAAAACTAAACAAAGGGGTTAGACATATTTCCATGAGTAAAACACACCCTCCAGAAGTAACACAGACATGGGTGTGGGTTTGTTTGAAATCCACTGCCACCTGCTTCTGAGGGAAAATGCAGAAAAAGACATTTGCTTATGATGAGGGCACCCATCCAAAACAGCCATGGTAGGGTTAGATGCCGTAAATTGATGCTGACTTGATGTTATGTTTGAATAGTTCAGAGAATTTTCAAAATGCAGATCAGAAGAAACTGGCAGTGGAAGTAAAAGGTATGTCATATAACTGAACTCCCTCGCATATTGGATTTACTTGTTAAAGGTTTCCAGAACCTCTACATCTTTTCCCCACCGCTCTTGGGCACTTTGCAAACAAAACTTCAAGACAATCCCACAACTGCTACACCAATTCTAACCCTTGGGCAATTCAGAGTAAAATGAGATGCTTTGAGTCACCCAGTGGCATACAAAGCAGTAGTTGAACTCTGAGCCAATTTGTTTCCTGAAAGAATTTCAAAAAATGGGAAATGAATACAATTTGAACTTGGTTATTTGTCCTGAAGTGTAGGAGAGGCAACGCCCTTCGTATGGCAGGACAGGTCTCTCCAGCTGCCCGCTGCACAGTAGGAAGCCGACTTCAGTTTTTCAGAATCAAACTATTTCAAACGTTTTTTTAAAGGTGAGCATGTGCTCCTGTGCTGTACTAAACTGGGCGTTTGCTGCCCAACTAGGCTGCTGGGCTGGTGCTCCAGTGGGGATGTTCACGCTAGCCCAGTATATGTGGTTACCAAATGCTCAAAAGGTGGGTGAACCTCTTGTCACACAAAGGTCGTCTTCTGATACCCCAGCTATTTACATCCCTGAGTAAAGAGCCACTTTACGTAGAGCTGGTGTAGGGCTGAAGTAAACCTGAGACATTGCTTCTGTCTCGGTCCTTGACCGACTGTTCATCCCCTCAAAGATGATGCAGTACGTCTTCAGTAATCTGCAGAATGCTCTGGTGCAGAGCTATGGAAAGACAAAGAGCAAAGGAGCCATTTACACCTGACAATGTACCCTTATCCCTTATCTTATGTACATTAAGGTACATATCTTATGTACATTAAGGCCTAAATGAAGGTACGACCCCCTCACGCTGCAATTGTCACACAGACTTTGCCTACAGTGGAAAGATGAACCACAAAGGCTTTTCTTTTAACAAAAGAAGTTTATTTTGACTACTTGGCTTTAGCAGTAAGGAAACCTTGATCGAGCAAGACATGGCTGAAAGGTGTTTGGTACACTACTGCAGAGCAGCTGACAAAAAGGAAAAAGACTTGCATGTTTCATATTCAGACAATGAAGCTTTCATTTGCTGCCTAGTTCACAGATGTGGTATTGTCAAATTGCAGGAAAATGCCTGGCAGACTGTATCATTGACTATATTTAGGGAGAAAATTCAGAACACGCTATTTATAGAAGCCACACAAATAAGCACAGAGTTCTTATCAGCCAAAGATAACATTAGTCGTGATTTATCAAAGTAATCTTTATTTTTTGGAAAATGGGTAATAGGGTGTAATTTAATCCTTTGTGAATGTAATGTATATTTCAAAGGGTTCTTTTTTGTCAATAAAACCATTTGTTGTACTTGTTAAACTAATTAGTCTTGTTGCTGTTGCTTATGACAGGATAAAAGATGCCCGTTAATGAGAACAGGGAGAAGATGGGATCGAAAGTTTGTGAAATATTTTGTACT